TATTTTTTTTTTTATATGATGTGTGCACACCCGGGTGTTGGATCCGGGTGTGCACATATCATTTTCCTATAACTTATTACCTGGGAAAATTAGAAACTAATACTACTTGTATGAGTTTGTCACATAGCTATTCACTCGTTTAATTAGTTTATTATTTTTTTCCTTGTTTTAAATTTATTTTTTATTGAGTGTTATTTTGTTTAACTTGTTTAGTTTCACAAAAATGAAAAAAGATAATATATTTTTTATTTTTCTCCCTCTTCCTTTCCTTTTTCAGATATACTAAATGAAAAAAAAAAGAGGAGTAAAACTTAAAGGGAAACCTCTTCTTTACCCTGTAGGTTTTTTTTTTTTTTTTAAATTTAAATAAAGAAATTTCTTGCCCTTCCCTCCTCTCCCCTTCTCTTACACCAGACAGTCTATTAAAATCAATTACTAATCTATGTCCATTTTACTTGTCCATTATTTATAATAAATAAATAATAATATGAGAATTTTTTTAATATATGATATTTGTTAAATAGTTTCATTTCATAAAATTTTTTTTAACCACACAGACTAATAAAATCAATTAATATCTGTGCCCATTTTACTCGTCCATTATTTATTGTATATAAATAATAGTTAAAAATTTTCTTAATATATAATTCTTATTAAATAGTTTCATTTTATAAAAAAAAATTTAAATGATCTTTTATATATTACAAAAAAATCACATAAATATATGTGTGTGAAACCAACAACCTAAATAATTCGGTAATAATCTTTTTCGATTGGAAGTGAGACATTTTGAGTTCAAGTTGCATTGAAACAAGTGAGGTGAAATTAAAGAATAAAAAATTATTACCTTCTATTATACAATTAAAATAAAATATATATATATATATATATATGTGCAACAAGTAAAATGAACCTGAAGTACTATAAATATAAATATAACATAAGGAACCTATTTTACAATCTAGGTTACTATAAATATAAATATAACATAAGGAACCTATTTTACAATCTAGGTTACATTAAATTATAAAACAATAATCAATGATAACCCTCAATATTAAAAACTCATCTTTCATTCAATTGGATATAATTCATACTGAATAATGCTTTTTTAATATAAAACTTTTCATAAAAGGAGCAAAACTATATTTTAATTAAGAGTTTGTTTAAAGTGTATCCTCAAAGTACAGATTAAAAGTGTATTAAATACCTCTCTTATTTCATAAATTTATATTGAAAATATAAAAATAAATTTTTAATTTATCAACTGTTCACTCATTTGATACTAAAATTAATATTAATTTTTATATTTTTTTATATATGTTTATAATAAAAAATATAATAAATACATACATTTATTCTGTATACGACATGGGATAAAAATACCCTTTAATTAATACTGGTTCGCTGCCCACTACTTTCAAATCCTGGCGACGCGCTGAAACGAAGTGGTCCATTGCAGATAAACACTAACCATATCTCATAGATTAATAGACCTGGTTGTCCAGAGAATTTGGTAGAAAAAATAGTATTTTGAGAGGATTTTGGAAATTGAGAGCTTTTAGAAAAGGTTTAAAAGAACAAAAGTTTTCAAACTTTGTAAAAGAAATATTATTATCTCTCTATTTTTAAAAAAAATTATAAAAATTCCTCAACTTAAAAGAACGCCAAACAATGTCATAACGTATGTTCTTCATATGGTATAATCTATAATAGTTGAAAGTAAAATAGTAGTGCTAGTCCCTCAACTTTTATTTTTTATGCACTTTGATCCTCAAACTTCATATTTATTCCAATTGGTACGTGATTTAACTTTTTTATTGCAATTTTGTCCCTAAAATTTTGAAAGAGTTGTACTTAAGTCCCAAACTATTAATTTTATACACTCCCATCTTTTTCTGCATAAATAACAAAAATAATGTAAAATCCATTAAAATCACATTTAACTTATCAAAATATCAATCAAATCAAGTTTAAAGCGGTAAATTAAAATATATAAAATTTATCTAATTAAAGTAAAAAATCAATTCTTTGATGCTAGTTGGGATCCTTAAAAATTTTTTTTTTAAAAATGACATTTAAATCTCTACATTGACATAACTTGTATTAGAAAAAGGAACAACATTATGTTATAAAAAAGGAAAATATGAGATACTTATCTCTTTTTCTTGTTATACACTTATAGCCATAAAAGCAATGCACAAAGTTATCATTAATTCATGATATTCACATAATAACATCTTTTGCAACTTCAAACTTTGGTTCAAGAACTTCACAATATATCCTGAATTGGGTATTAAAGTTTTTTTTTTTTTGGGTAAGTGGGTATTAAAGATTTAATTTTGCCTTTTATGGTAATTAATTTTATTTTTTAAAATTTTTTAATTAGGCTTCATTTTTGTACAAGGAGCAAGTTAAATTTTTTTGAAGCACCTGTTGAAAAATTTAGTTTTTAATTAATATTTTTAAAAATTAACTATTGAATTAAAAGTTTTATACATGTAGATTATGCATGTTAATATTTATTTTAATCTAATACTTATAACTCTTTAATTAAAGAAATTTTATTTATTTACTAATATATATTTAATAGTGTTAAAATTGATACAATCAACAAAATGATTAACCTACTAAAATAATTTGAAAATTGATATGAATGATTTATATGAATATAATTTTTAATTCAATAGTTGGTTTTTAAAATATTAATCAGAAAATAAGTTTTTAAATAAGTCTTACCAATTTTTTTTTAAAAGAATGACATATAAAATATATTTTTTTAATATATATATATATATATATATATAAGCTGAACTATTATATAATTTGTTGTGAATGATCTAAGATGTGAATTTTTTAATTTGTTACATAGATATGTTCTTAAATGTAAAACCATTATTCGCAAGCATTAATGTTAATATTTTAATAAATAAATGAACAAGTAGCCGTAGATATGATAGTAATTATATTTAAGACATACTAGATGTGATCTTATTAGAGTTACGTGATAAAAACCATTTTTATCAGTTAATTAAGCCACTTTTTAATTCTCTTAAAATTTTCATAGTAATAAAAAAATTACTAACTTGGGACTATTAGGAAAGTTTGAGTTTTGGGTTTATCTTACTTGTTTCTTAAAGAATTTTGATTTTGGGCATTTTTTGAATATTAGCCTAAAAAAATTTATCTAATTAACTTGAAAAATATTAGGAAAGTTTGAGTTTCGGCCTTATTTTGATTGGGCCTTAAGGAGTATTAATTTTAAATGAAGATTAATCTATCTTTCTTGAGCCTTAAGAGTATTAGTAATTTTGATTTTTTTAAAGGTTTTAATATTGTAAATTATATATATATTTTATGAAATGTAAATTTTATAATTAGTTAAAGATTACCGAGTACTTCATAAAATACTTGAGAAAACATACTATTATATATAGAAATATTTTTTAAATTGTCCTATATTTAAAAACATTTGTTCTAATGATTTAGTTACAATATTATAAAATATTATAAATTTATAATATAATGTATTAATATTTAATTAATTTTTTAATGATATAGTTACATTATTATAAAGTATTATAAATTTATAAATAATGTATTAATATTTAATTAATTTTTTAACAATTTATTTATAATATTATATATATTTATTTAATAATATATAATGATTATAATTTAATAATTTAATGTGATATTGTAACTATAAAATTAATGAAAGCAAAAGTACTCTTAATTTTATTAATAGCCTATAAAAATTTATTCATAACATTTTTAATATTTCTTATATTAAACTAATACATTTAAGAGTTTATTTAGTATAAGATTTTAGGGTATCAAGTAGCGATTTAGGTCAAATAGTTAAAAATAGATGTTTAGCAAATTTATTTATTTTGAAACCACAACATACTAGGTGTTTGATAAATTTTTTATTTAATGGTTTGAGATTAGTAGATAGTGATTAGGGTCAAAACATCTAGCAGATTAAAAAAGTATTTAAAGTAACTTTTTATATTAAATCGATAACGGATTATAATTTTTAAATTTTATCGATAAATTTATTTATTTTAATTTTTTGATTTTTGGCCATAATTTTTTATTAGCACTTACATAATTACTTATAGTCTTACGCTAAGAGACTATCCCAAATTTTTTAACTAGTTTAATAATAAATTTTTTTTAATAAAAATAAAAAATTTTAAGTTGACGTCGCAGTTACATGCATTGCCATAAGTCAAGAAGTAAAACAGTTGCATCCCATTTTGTCAGTGCATTTTCAGTTTTCAATTTGTCTGACATGGGCTGTGACTTTTACATTCTTCAGAGGCAACCCAGCTCTAAGTGGTTACTGATTCAGCTGCAAACAGAGGTCGCCGTCATCACCACCATCTTCCTTTCCATCAGAATAGCTGCGCCATGCTGCACTTCCTAGAGAACAAGGTTTATACTTTGCTTTTATCACGCCATTGTTCTCGCATTTTATTTTCCTTCTGCACTTGTCTACTACATGTAAATGCATATATAGCCTATATACATTGGTCGCTGCTTTTTTCCTTTTTTTTTTTTTTGGGTTAAGTTTTATTGAAGTTGCTGTGGTATTATCACGATTGCAATTTCAACGGCTTGTTTCACTCCTTTTAGCTTCTGGGTTTCATTCAAAATATTGTTTTTTCTGCAGATGATTTCAGGTTTTGGAAATTATCAGTCATCCTAGGATTGAAATACAAAGTTTTTATTTTGTTATTTGATTTCTTTCTTAAAGTTCATCAATTTCATTTCTGATAAATTGTTTAAACGCAGAACATTCCTTGGAACAGAGGCTACGGTCATCAGAATCGTCAGCCCGTGGTACCCTCCCGAGACAACCTGGTTTGCTTATATCATCTCTCATTTTATTTTGCTCTCGCACTTGTCTGCTACATGTAAATGCATATATAGCGTATATACATTGGTCGCTGCATTTCTTTCTTTCTTCTTTTTTTTTTTTTTTTTTTTTTTTTT